CCACAGAGAGAGAGAGAGAGAGAGAGAGAGAGAGAGAGAGAGAGAGAGAGAGAGAGCAGAGTTTCTGGCCCCTTCTGTGTGGTGCAAATCTGTTCAAACCAGCTCATGTAAAAGGGCACTGGTCTTCTGGGATAATCTAAGCTCCCTGACAGCCAGAGCTCATCTTAACCAGGAGTAACTTGAGGCACAGAGACAGGAAGGAACTGCCTGCAGTGCACACAGTTTATAAACAACCAAGGACAGGGCAGCGGTCTCTCTCTCTCTCTCTCTCTCTCTCTCTCTCTCTCTCTCTCTCCTACCAACCCACAAGCGGCAGCAGAAGCTTCCCCGCTCCCCTTCTGTGTGGCAGCCAAGAGAGAAATAAAACATGACACGCGTGAGATGCCAGCCAGGGCCCTGGTACCTTGCTCCCTCTCCACTCACAGCCCACCAATTCTGAAAGCTAATTACGAGTTTAATGGTCCCAGTTGCGCAGTCACGCCTTCTGACAGCAGCGAGGCTGGAGGAAGACGAAGCCCCTGTCCCAAGCAACCTTGTTTTTATTGACTTGTAAGCAGCTAAATCGTCTGGGAAAAGCCAGCACACCAGCCAGAGCCTCTGGGCCCCCCTGCGATGTGGTGATACTCAGACAACTGAGACCTCTGCGGTGTCTGCTCACGAATGCAAAGTAAATGAATCCCCCAAGCTGGGAGCTGCGCCAGGGGCTGCTGTGCTGGCTGCAGCCAGGAAATCCAGCTCCATTTGAGCACTCTCCCTGTCTAGACAAGGAGCACAGCGGCCCAACATATTAAACTGCCTGCTCTGCTCTCTTGGATCCAGTTAAGATTCCTCTCCTCTTCCTTGGGGCTTCTTCCCCATTGGCTAACAGAGCCACTGTTGGGGAGGCACTATGGCTCCCACCCACCAGCCCCTACCTTTGCAGCCGTGTCCTGGGCTCTAAGGGCCCAGGACCACACCTGCCGCTCTCCCCTGACAACTCTTCAGGCCTCAGTGTCCTTATCAAGGGAGTGGTTGAGATACACTGAGCTCACAAAGTCCTTGAGAGAATGGGCACTGTGTCAGGCCAAATAGTGTCCCCAAATCAAAGTGTTTGTAAGAGTCACTTCAGGTAAGGTGGTTGACATGCTGTAGAACACCCTAGTGCAGTGTGACAGGCATCCTTAGAAGAGGAGAAACTGCCCCGAGAAGCAGGGAGAAGAGACAATAGGGATGCCTTGGAGAGACGGACCTCAGGCCTGGGCCTGCCCAGTCGCTGGCAGCCAGCAGGCCCTGGAGGACACTCTCTTGAGCACCCAGAGGGCAGCACCCTCCCAACATCTGGCCTCAGACATCAGGCTTCTGGAGCTGGGACACAATGCATTTCTTGGTTAAGTCATAGGTTGTGGTGTCTTATTCTATGCCCCTGGGACACTCAACAGTCCCTGAGAACACTAAAGGTTCTATGGTCTCTCTGCTCCTCACCAAAACAGTTCTGCAGGTTCTGAAAGGTGGCGTGGTTGCTTGAGCAGGAAGACTCAGCCTTCAGTAGCCCCAGGCATTGTCCAGTCATGGTTGAGGAAGCACTGTCCTCTCTAGCCAAGACAGTCATTGAAGCTGGGCCTCAACCCTCTGTTCCTGTGACATCACAGGCAGACACAGGAAGGCTCCCCCCTGTCAGTCCTGCCCACCCTCCCAGGGACCTGAGTCTGCAAACTCCCCATCCTAGGTCCACCGTTTCCGTAGTAGAGATCTTTCGCTCAGGGCTACACTGTCCCTCAGAGCACTTTCCCCCAGGCCTTTTCAACAGGCACTAATGGGGCACCTACTGTGTGCCCATTCCTACAAGCCAGGGGTGGACAAGACACCAGAGATGGCTTCCGAAAGCAGCAGCAGGAACAGAGAACAGAGAACAAAGGAAGTCTTGGGAACTTGGCAGAGCCTGGGAACTGAAGCCTGGGCAACTCAAGCTAGAAGAACCCGAAAACTGAGGCAGAACTGGGAGTGGGGGTGATACAGACCTTGGCTGAAGAAACAGAGGCATGTGCCAGGGGCCCACATGAGACAGTATTTCTTGGGGTGACAAAGCCTCTGCCATGCCTCCTCTCTCCTCTCCAACGTCCAGGGAGTGACAGAATAGGTTGGGTTCATTAAGGATGGGGGCACTTCCCAGGCCACAATCACACCCTGCCAGTACATAGCAGGAGCATTGACAACATTCCAGTGTTCAATAAATTCCATATGAGATCCTGGGTGGGTCTGTTTCCTTTGTCACTGTCTCAGCAGTGACTGGACCCTATTTGTCAGAGTGGCATTGCCTGGGTAGTCACGAAACAAACCCGGTGATGTACCACAGTGAGTTATACACATTTTGAGGTTTTGTTCTGAGACAAAGGTTTTGTTCTGAGCAAGATCATAGGATCTTGCTATGTTTCCCTGGTTGGCCTGGAATTTTCTGTGTAGACCAAACTGGCCTCAAAATCAGAGATCTGTCTGTTTCTGCCTCTCAAGTGCTGGGATTGCAGGCCAGCTACCACACCCAGCCTTAATTACATGTCTTAATAGTTATGCTGTGTATTTTTAATTTAGATGCAGGGCATAAGAACCTGACAGCAAAGATGCTCCAAGGCTTCTCAGAACCCTGAAGCTGCCCTGGGGCCCGGCTTTCTAGCCACACTGGTTGAGCATGACAGTGCCCTCTTTGGGAATGAGCCTGGCCAATGTCCTGCACCCTGATGGGCCCAGCCCCTGCTGCTTCTTCCAGCTCAGCCCACAGTCAAGGCAGGTCCACTGGACCCAGCAAGTTTCCGTCCCAGTCTCGGGTTCAAGGACCTGTGAGGAGCAAACCTTCCTCCTGCAGTTCTGAACTGTGGAGGCCACAGCAGTGAGAGGTGATGAGTGTCACCTTGTAATAGGTGTCTTCTGAGGTGGTGGGAGGGAGAAGCTCCCACCCAGCCTTGATGGCTTTGGGACTTCACAGGTATAGCATTAACCTCTGTGAAGCACCTACCTAATGAAATCTCTTAGAGATGCTGCAGGGGCACAGCCAAACCCAGCAGAACCCTGGAGCCAAGAACAAGCTTGTTGATAAGATGGGTACCCATGAAGGAGCTCTCCACCTCCAAGCATCCACAGGCTTCTCCATCAATCAGATGGGGATCTGAGCTGTCTTATTTGGGTTGAATAAGCCCAGGGGTCAGTCTGCACTTGGATACCTGGATGTGCCCTTGATAGCCCCAGTCCACTAAGGCTTCCCTCTGTCTCTGTCACTTGCACATCAGCCACAGCCCAGGCCTCAGGGGATGGTGGGTACAGCCCAGAGGCTAGAGCCGGAGGTGGGGCATGGATTCTAGTGTCAGGGATTCTTGGGGAGTTCAGTCACCAGGCAGAGCCTAACGGCCTCCCTGGCCCCAGGGAGAAGTTAGCTAGAGGGCAGGTTTGTCCTTCAGTGTGCTCATGAATCTGGATCCGGCCATAGCAGCAGACTCACAGGGGTATCCGGGGTTGTTTGCCCTGGTTTCACATTTTGGCTGGGTTTCAGGTCTGAACTGGCCTCCAGGCACAAAGAGAAAACAAGTCTTTCTGAGCAGCCCGACAGAGCCCGTTGCATGAGTGAAAATCTGCTCCTAGAGAAGGAGATGCCCCTGGGAACACCTCCGGAAAACTTGACGCTCTGTGGGAGCTGTGACAGGGTCCTCTGGTTTTACTGTAGAAAGTCTGGGCCCTCTTCTGGCTTCCAAGGGACCACCACACATAGAACGCCACCCAGGCCTTCTTAATCTTCTAGTTGAACATTGTATTGCCATCATCCACTTGTCAAAACCTCGAAAACCTTAGTGGTGGTGCACACCTGGTACCCCGGTACTCAGGAGGTGCGGTAGGGAGACCAGGAGTTCAAGGTTGTTCTCAGCTACATAGCACATTTGAAGCCAGCCTGGGCTATCTGAAACTTTCTCTCAAAAACAACAACAATGAAATCCAAAGCCATCAAAATGTACAGAGGAAAGCTGGGATGCCCCTGACCCCTGTCCTGGCTCTCTTCCCCAAATTCTCCCCATAGTAACACCAACAGTGGCTTTTCTCCTTTAAAAGCCCATGGGTATTTTTCCAGATCAACTCAAGTGGCCCTAACTTGGGACTTTTGCTTGCTTGTTTTATAATTATTTTTACTTTATGTGTGTGGTGGTTTGAATAAAAATGGCTTCAACAGGCTCATACATTTGACTATTTGGTTCCCAGATGGCTGTTTGGCGAAGATTAGGAAGTGTGGCCTAGTTGAAGGAAGTGTGTTACTGGGGATGGGCTTTGAGGTTTCAAAAGACTTGCACCGTTTTGAACTCTCTCTCTCTCTCTCTCTCTCTCTCTCTCTCTCTCTCTCCCTGCCTCATGCTTGCAGTTTGAGATGTGAGCCTTCAAATGCCATACCATTGCTTCACCATCACGGTGTGAGCCTCTGGAGCTACAAGCCTGCCCAGGTAAACACTTCCTTCTATAAGTTGCTTTGATCATTTTTTTTTCCCAGCAACAGAAAAGTAATTAACACAGACATATGTAAGAGCTTTGCCTGCATGTGTGTCTTTGCACCATGTGTGTGCCTGGTGCCCAGAGGTCAGAAGAGGGGGTGTGAACTCTTGGAACTGAAGTTACAAATAGTTCTGAACCACCCTGTGGGTGCTGAGAACCAAACCTGGGAAGAGCCAGTGCTCTTAACTGCTGAGCCGTCTCTCCAACCTCCTAATTTGGGACTTTTCCTGGCATCAGTATTCTTAGAACACAGTGGAGCATTTCCCAAGCCATCACATCCAGGCTTTGTTGTTTTGACTACAAACACCTGCCATCCCCATCCTCATGCAGGTGGTGAGATTCAGAAGGTGCTTGGCCCAGGCCTCAACTAGTGAGCTGAGCCAGAGGCTGTGGCCTTTGGCCCACCCAGAGGCCAATCAGCAGGCAGTAGAACACAGACAGTCCTAAAAGGAAGAGAGAGCTTCAGCTATCAAAAGTCATGATTTAACCCCCACCCTAGTGGTGTAAATCTGTAATCTGTACACTTGGGAGACCATGACAGGAGGAGCACCTAGAATGTGAGGCCAACCCAGGTCACACAGTGTATTCTAAAAGAAAAGGAAGTTTGGTAGCTTCTGATTTGTTCAGTTTTTCAGTTGTTCCTTAGCCTCAGTTGTGTGCATAGCGGCTCTGCTTCCTGGACTCTGGCCTGGTGACTTTAGGTTAGGGGACAGTAGACTGGGGGACATTGGAGTGAGGAGTGCTTATTCATGGCTTAGGTAGAGCCTGCCCAGCCTCTATGGTTCAACCTGAAGCCCTGTTCCTTCCCATCTGGCTGTGTCAACCTTTTCTACTGTACACAAACACACTCTGCACACACACACACTGCACGCACACACACACACTCTGCACACTCACACACACACTCTGCACACTCACACACACACACTGCACACTCACACACACTCTGCACACTCACACACACTCTGCACATTCACACACACTCTGTGCGCACACACCTTGCATACACACCCTGCACACACACACACTGCACACACACACTCTGCACACACACACATCCTGCACACACACACACACTGCGCACACACACTCTGCACACACACACACACACACACACACACACACTTCCCCTTGGCTGTGGCAGTGACTCTCTAATCCTTCCAGAGTCAGAAATACAGAAAGTGTTATTTAACAATGAAATGAGACAGGGGACCCACTTATGCAGAGGCTGTGGCACTTTCCCAAGCTGCCCGAAGAATAGAACAATAAAAAATTGTCCCTGACTCTCAGTCCTCCTGACTTTGCTCAGCCCCCCATTTCCTCCCCTGTCACTCACCTCCTGCCTCCTTCACCACACCGGAGGTTCTGCAGCCCGACAGCCTGCTCCTCTTCCTGCCAGCTGGCAGAGATGTCTGGACCTAGATCACTCACTCAGGGGACTGGTCTCTGGCCTGGAGAAAGAGGCAAACAGGGCAGCAGCTACACTCAGCTGCTCTCTCTCTTCCCACTTCCCATTCCCACTGCCAGGGACATGTCCGGTGATAAGGCAGAGACAGCAAACCCAGTGAACTCAGGACTGGTGTCTAAGGTGCTGTGGGAAGCTGTTGGAAAATCCTTTTGTGAGTGACAGTTTGCAACTGCCCTCATCATCTTGGTCAGAATGCTCCAGCCCTTCTGGTGGCCCCCCACAAAGTCCCCCTATGCTAACACTCCGGTGCAGAGGTGATCTGGCTGCCAGCCCCTAAAAAGGCTAGTGCTATGAAAAGCCACTGGGACAAATCATTATGCCCCACCCTGCTTCCCAGGTTCTGGCTGCTCTTGGCCCAGTGGGCTTTTCCACACAGCCCCTGTCTCCCCAGCCTTTTCCTTTCCCATTGGACATACATGGGAATGGGGTGGGGAGGGAAGTCAGGCCTTTCATGTGAGACACGACCCGAATTGGTATTATCAGAAGGATTTGAACCCAGGGCATGTTGGCTTAAATAGTATTGTTTCCCAGGCTGTGAATGAGCTCAGGCAGGACATGCTCCAGGTAACAAACCCTCCTGAAGTTCCCAGACAGCAGCCGAGGGGCCTCAGACATGCTCCCTGGGAAATGTGTTCAGTATACTGGCACAGGAAGCAGGAGGCTCTGTTTCCTGCGTCTTACAACCTCCTTCCCACATGCAGCAAAGTGGCCTCTCTTGATGAGGGTTTGCAGAGCCCTGAAAGCCAAGAGGCACAGAGCAGCATCTGCGCCTGTCCCTGCCTTGGTCCCCAGTCTCCGCCTCATTGGACCAGGGTTACGGAAAGGCTCACTGGAACATGAAGGACAGGGCATGCCCCAGAAAGACAGCCGCCAGCTGTTCCCGTCACAGTGGGTCTGACAGACACACCCTGGGGAACCCACATCTCCCAGATGGCTGTGGAAATCAGAAATCAGCTTTAGAAACCACAGGCACACTTCCCGGGGGTGTGGGGGATGGTGGCTCCTTCAGGGGGCCCTGGCTCAGAAAAGAACTTTCTGGAAAGTAGGGAAGCTAGTGCACTTCTTGTCCTCGGGAGACCATTCCCAGCTGGGTGTGAATCTCCCTGCAGTCGCCCTGAGGTGGCAGACACCCCCTGCTCTGCTCCAGCTGCCTATGCAGCAATTTATTTGTTTACCAAATGTCTGAGA